TTTGGTGGCATAGTTGGGTAGCAGTATTGATTGAATAAGCTAGAGGTGGACAATATTTTTAGCATGCAACTAAAATTTTTCTCAACTCTTCAACTTTTATTTGGTGTGATTAAAATATCTACGAATGAATATTAGCCCAAAGATCAGAAGAAAGAAATAAGCGTTTATAAATAAACCACCATAAATATTCATTTGACTCAACTATTCATTTAATCAATTTATGTATATTAAAAGCAGTAGCAAATCTAGAGATGTTTGTTTGTTTATGTATATGTAAATAAGTATGTTTACCTACATATATATGTATGTACATATAACCACTATTCTCATTTGTTTATTTACACAGTTTTCGCCCACCGTGCACACTACCGCTACCACCCACAGGCATAAACATACCCTTACATACACACGTACCTACAAGCATAACTATACTCGTTTATTTAACATACATATACGAGTATATAGATGAATGTGTGAGCAAATAACAAATGTTTTAAGAACACAAGAAGAGCAAAGCGTACGTAACATCGTTAACGGTCACAGTTGTACCGACTAAGGGGAAAAATCAGAATATATGTATGTATGTATGTAAGTATGTATGTATGCACGAGCATATCCATAGGTAACAGGAAAGAAAAAAGAACGGAAATGAAAAGAAAATGAAAACAATAAAAAAGTGGTTACAACATTACAAAATGTAGCAACAAAAGCAATTAACTTGTTTATATAAGTAGAGAGAAAGAGGTGAAAGTCTCATTTATTTAACTTAGTTAATTGCTTCATCATGAAGAACCTGGCATAGTTCGTTGACAGCGCCAGCAGTGTAACGGTGTTTATTATGTTGTGAGTACACGCCTCTCAAACATATACATATATCTATACATACATATATATACATATACGTCCATGCATACAACGGTGTTTACTTAGATCCTTCTACGAGCAGTAAGTAGCACATCGAAGGCTTCGAGCAGAGAAATTTTAATTGTACCAAAGTGCGAGCTAAACGCAATTTTCCACGCTCAGTTGCGCTCAATACTATGTAGTATACGTATGTATGTATGTATGTGTGTATGTATGTTTGTGTGCATGTAGTAGCAATGTGGTCAATTTAAATTGCTGAAAGGCGTTGTGGCGAAATTTGAAAAATTACCTACAATCTGCTTTCGACTGTGCAGCGTACAGCCAAGGAGTGAACGGCACCAAAAAAAAAAAACAAAAAAAAAAAAATTAGGAGAAAAAGAAAAGTAAAAAAAGAAAAAGGATTGTATAATTTTGTATTAATCCTTGTTTGTTTGTTATGTAAATGCCATTTAATGCTGCATATTTGTTATTGGTATTGTATGTATGTATATATGTAAGCGCATAAGACTTCTCTCAGCTGCCACAATTTGCATAAGCAAGCAAAGAAAATAAGAAGGAGCTTTGTAAAATCATAAAAATCAAATTTTTACCATTCATACACACACACACACACACACTAACACTTACATAAATAAATAAATAAATAATCTAGATATAAACATTAGGGTAAGTTTGGCAAACGTAGACGATTATCTTACTCAAGTGTTAAAATGTTTAGTGTGGCTAGGACTAAAGGATAGGTTAGGTTAGGTTGAGCTGACTGAACCGTTGAGCTTCACATAGACGAAATACAAGCACAGTGTTGACAGGCACACTACATGCGACCAAGCCGCTCTAGTGTGTCTCCAGTATGAAGAACATTGCTGTTCTTTTAGCGAAATTGAGTAGTCGTTCAGGCCCCTTGGGCATTACCCATTGAAGACCCTGTAGTATAGCTTTTGTCTTTCGGCGGACGTATCTTAAATGCATGAGACGCCGGTAGGTAATGTTACTGTTAATAGGCCTTTGAGCTGTTTGGAGTCTGGAGTCCGGTCTTTTAACAGTTAGTACATACTTTTTGAGCATAGTATTGCAAGTTTTACACATAGTTGGTCCCGCCCACCCTTTCGCTTTACTCCCTTGTGAATCCAAGAATACAGGAAAAATGAATGCTAATATGATAATGATGATCCAAGGAGCTCAGAATATTCGAGAAGCTGAAATCCTGTCCTGTAAATAGTCTCGGGAAAACTCAAGCCGGATCGCATAGAACTTATTTCAAGCCGTAGAAAATTGTCTCTACTGAATATTTACAGAATAAGTATTAGTTTTCATAACAGTATTCGTATTTTTGTTTCTATTTGTATTTTTATTCCTATGCGCATTCGTATTTTTGTTCGTATTCTTATGCGTATTCGTGTTCGTAATTTCATAACTACTCTTATTTCACATTCGTACTACTATTCGTATTCGTATTTCCACTCGTATTCTTATTTGCATTCGTATTTCCACTCGTATTCTTATTCGTATTCGTGTTCGTAATTTCATACCTACTCGTATTCGTGTTCTAATATTTATTTCTAACGGTACTAGTATTTGTTTTCACATTCGTACTACTATTGGTATTCGTATTTCCACTCGTATCCTTATTTGCATTCGTATTCATATGTGGATTCGTATTCACATTTAGATTCGTATTTGTATTTGTTTTTGTATTCGTATTCGTATTTATATTTTTATTCGTATTCTTATTATATTTGTGTTCGTATTCGTATTTGGGTTCGTATTCGTACTCACATTTCGATTCGTATTCGTATTTGGATTCGTATTCGTATTTATATTCCTATTTGTTTTCGTGTTCACATTTGGATTCGTATTTATATTTGTATTCGTATTCGTATTTGACTTCGTATTCGGTTCGTATTCGTATTTATATTCCTATGTGCATTCGTATTCACATTTGGATTTGTATTCGTATTTATATTAGTATTCGTGTTCACATTTGGATTCGTATTTATATTTGTATTCGTATTCGTATTTGACTTCGTATTCGTATTTGCGTTCGTATTCGTATTTATATTCCTATGTGCATTCGTATTCACATTTGGATTTGTATTCGTATTTATATTAGTATTCGTATTCTTATTTGGACTCGTATTTGGATTCGTATTCGTATTTATATTTGTATTCGCATTCGTATTTGGACTCGTATTTGTATTTGTATTCGTTTTCGGATATATGTTTGCATCCCCTTACGTATTCGTCTTCGTCTTCGCATTTGCCTCCGCTTTCGTGCTCGTGTTCGTATTTGTAACCGTAGTTTAATTTTCTTTCGTACTTTGTATTTGTGTTTCCTCACCTCATTTCCGAATCTATTTAAAAAGAGTCAGAAGAGAGAAGTCGCAAGATGACTGCTAGGTCAGTTATCATAAAATGGCCCTCTCTCTCTCTCTCTCTTCCCTACACAATGTAGATCAGGTATGTAAAGGCCATGAGGAACTATTCCTCCTCTGGAATGAGTATGGTGACTCTCCGTCTCAAGAAATTTATATTCATTACGTAATTCTCACACGGATATCTTTGTAAAATCAGCTAAAGGGGATCTCAATGCTTGAAAGGAAGAAAGAGAGACGTGCACACAGAGGTGACTGAGAAGATGAGTCCGCATTTCTTAACTTTCGTATTCCTTGAAAGCTCCAAAGCTATTAACTCAAGTGAGCTGAAACGTCTGGTAAACTATACTCGTGGGTCTCGGAGTGAATTTGGCGCATGAAAATGGATTAAAGCAACACAAATGATGAGACGGGTTTGAGACGAGTTGTCAATGCATAAGAAGCGAAAAAATCCAGGAATGATTACTTATGGGTCTACCGGAGTAGCTGAGTAAGTATCAATGAATGCAACGCATCGTCGAGTATTGAATTCAAGACTGAGTCAGAAACATAAGCCCCACAAGACTATGGTTGACACAAAGGGCAAACAAAAAAGTTAAAAAGCTGGAGAGGAAAGTGGGACGCTGTTGTAGATTGTTGATTGACACAAAGACCTTGAATAGCTGCCCGATGCAATGCGCAATAAATGAACGATAAAGGTGATTTGGTGACCGATATTCAGAGTATACCGGGTTCATGGAGGACACACATCTCCAGCTCGCTAAATTGCAGTGAAAGTCAAACATCAGAAGATGGCGAGCCCGAATACCGAATCGATTGCGATGAAGCAGACTTTCCATTAACCGACTATGATGAGGTCTGAATTAAAATAGAAAGCCTGTATAAAAACAAAGCGGCGAGAGCCGATAGCTTACCGGCTAAGCTATGGCCACGAGAAACTTAGAAGGTGCAGTTAGACCCTAAATATGCTCTCTCCAATCGTTAAGTAGAGAGATGCCACAGAAACCGACTTCGCTACCCTTTATGTCGGATCTAGCCTCAACACTAACAATAATGTCAGCCTTAAAAACCAAAACGGAATCACTCTTGCCAACCGGTGCTACTTTAGACTGTGTGCGGTAGGGGTAAGTAAGTTCCTCTTTCGAAGCACAGCGATCAAGTTCTATAAGTCGCTCAGAAGCATAGACGATGCGGACATTATTATGCTGAATCGGCTTTGAGAGCCTTCGAGCGCGTAAGATTTGAGGCACACTCCATTTGGGGCGGAGATGAGTGTTGTAGACAGTGAAACAATGAGCTGTGCAGCGGCTATGTTGACGAGGCTTTGTCATCCATTCGCGGGACAACACTACCGCCGTGAAACTGTACGACGCAGCTGCCAATGGTGGTAATAGAAGAAGAGGAATATCTTCACCTACCGTTGGCAAGTTCAGGTGCAAAAGGAACTAGCTACAATTGGTGGCTACCGAAATGCACCTTCCGCGCTTTTGTTGATCCAACTTTAATACCGTTGTGGGTGCCAACGACAAATAAAAAAAGAAGAACTTTTTCTCATCTCCCGCGAGGTGACGGATGTAAGCGTAAATAATTCTCATTAAAAACTACTCTTTAACGGCTACCACCACAGCTACAGTTGCTGAAAGAAAGTCTTCAATATTAGCCACCTTAATGTAAATACCCACACACACACACACACACACACACGCGCACACAAATAAATATATTTAAAATATAATAAATCATTTATTGAGCGATTGAACTTACGATTAGCTGTTGTGAAGAACGGCAACGGCAGCGCGGCGAGTAGGCAAAATGCGAAACAAGCCAAACGCGAGATGTACGACGCGGAGTACACGCTGGAGGACGTCATGCTGTTCGTAGCGGCTGATAACACGCCTTTTACAGCCATTTTATGAGCAAAGATGATGTTGATAGCGCACGCAAACTATTATGAGTAGTTGTTGTTATATATTCACGCGTTACCTTACGATGTGTACCGTTATTTCTATGGTTGTAGCCAGCAGTTATTACGCGTATATAGAGAATGAATAAAGACCGTGTCGGAAGCACATTAATAACTTGATTGGTACTTCGGCACAAGTGTTTGCCAGTTCGAGCGGTTGCCAGCAGCTGGAAAGAGAGGAGAAGAGAAGAGAAGAGAAGAGCAGAGAAAAGAGTGTGAGAGTGTGGTAAGAGATGAATCGTTGAAGAAAGACCATTCAAAATAAACAATTAAGAATGCAAATGCTTTCGCTTTAGAGCGCACAAACAAAAAAAAACCTGACAATTATTTGTCAGTTGAAATTTTTTTTATTTTTCCTTCTTTTTTTTTTGTTTTAGTTGCTGTCAAGCGTGTGTAAGCAAGCAGAAATGAAACGTTGCAGACTGTCTGGTTTATTTTCTGTGTTTTCTTTGTTTTTTTTTTTTTTTTTTTTTTTTTTTTTTTTTTTTTTTTTTTTTTTTTTTTTTTTTTAGAAGTTTTCCCCCTTTTGATTTGTGTATGCGCATCCGCATGCCGTAAGTTTGGTGCCCTCAAGGACAATTTGAAAGTTGAATATGTCGCCCTTCACTGTCGTCGTCGGTTGGGTTTCGAGTGTGATGTGTTAATTTGTAAGCTGCAAACATCAAAAGGAAACTACAAACCGTGAAATCGTTACCGTATGAAATCACTAAAGGACCAACAACAACAACAACAATAAAAACAACAACAACAACAAAAACAACAACTGTGGGTATAATCATTTTTGCATTATGTAAATCCCTTTACGGCGGCTGCAATAGCCGTGCAATTAGCAGCGCGTACTCTCATTCGGTATATCAAGGTTCGAATCTTAGGCCGGATCGACTTCAAAAATTAGAAAAAATAAATTTTTCTAATGGCGTTCACCTCTCGGCACGGCTTGCCAAGCGCTCGGTGCATATTTCTCACATGAGAGGGGAAAAAGCTCCACCCAAAGATCCAGGTTCGTTCGGCGTTGGCTTAGCCTAAAGTGGAAAAACCTCACGACACATACCCTAAACTAGCGATTGAGTTCGGCCGAAAATCACTGTAGCGGTTACAAAGCGCCAATTACATACAAACCCTTTTTCGTTAGCTTGTTCCAGTTAGCGTTGCCCTTTTGTGTTATACAAATTTATCAAATTTGTTAGGGTCAGTCAAGTATGTTTGTCTTGTTTCTTGTTAAAGTGAAATGAATCCATTAACGACTAGTTTTATTAATATCAAGAAGAGAATTTTTAAATTTTCATATTTCATCCCCACGCGAGCTCGACCCCGAAGAGTGAGTTTATGTTCAAATCTCTTTATCATCATCAATTCCAAAGCTAGTCAGAAGTTTTTATATAAGAAGGGTGATTTAAAGGTTCCAAGTATGAGAAAGATGGAGAGAAGGCAGCACATGAAATCGTCCTAGACACTTTTGGTCTTGTATAGGTAGAATAACGTCAGAAGATAAGGTAACCAAGCCATTTGAAACCTTGGGTATTGGCTGAAAGAGCCACAAGGTCCACTGAAGTCTTATTGCAGCGTTGATTAACGTCAAATATGGTCAGCTTTGTTTGAAGCCCGTAACATACAACACAAATTCAATGAAAAAGAGACAAACCAAGGCTCGGTTGTGAACTTCCAAAAACGCGTTGAACGAGATAACGATGGAAGAAGAAGTGTACAACGGTAATATAAGGGTACACAAATGTGGAGCTTGTAACAGTCCGTCGTAAGAGTAGGACGGTGGTGTCCCGTAGGTGGTTTTTTGGTTAAACAAACGGAAAAAATCGGTTTTCCGACGGGCCTTCACCAAGCGAGCTGAGCATGATCGACTAGGTCGGAATATAGTTATTCAATTTCCGATGGCGTATACTTGTCGCACACACTGGTAATTGGTAACGTGGGCAACCCTTGTGCAAGATTTGGCTACCAGCCCATATGGAGCCTCAGGTTAAGGTTAAAAGCGCCGAGCCTTATTCTAGCCAATATTTTCGGCTTAAGAGTTTAGTAGAGTCTTTCTTGTAGCTTATGTTCAGCTTATACTCAAATCTAAACATACACGGACTTGCCAGATTATGCACTGGGCTTTAACCTCGCAATGTAAAAATTGAAAACAGACAATAGACCCGAATGAGAACACCTCGTGCTGCAGTGTCGTAGCGTTTTGAGCCTCCGCAACATGATTTTTATTGGGAAGGATAACAAAGAGTGAAGTGGGAAGTGAGACCCATTCGTATATAGAAATACAGAAAGCCCCAAATGCGCGAGTATAGATATCTTGAAAGGCCGGGGGACTTTCAGAAGGCTCTCAGGTCGGAGCATGAGAGTGTACGAAAAAGGATCTAGTGACGTTGAAACTATAGAAGATACTTATATTGCTCGAAAAGGCGGGAGACAATGGCTTGCCGATGTATGTATTAGCTTCACGGAAAATTTTGGTCAAACGGAAACATGACCACCGATATAGAACCTGAGTGTACTCAGCCCAATGCACCTTACAGCGTAAAGAAATTATCGTAGACTGACGACCAGCATCAGTGAAGTGTTTGGACCTTATCAATGTGAGCTCATATCAAAACGATGCCGAGCAGTTCTTATATGTTTAAGTGAACGGACTCTGAACAGCAGTAGAAGTTCCATCCGCAGCTCATTATTGTTACGTCCAGAGCAAGGTTTACATCCGGTCTTTTTACGAAGATTTTCAGTCCTTAAAAACTATTCGACGTAATCTAGACTGAGAGCGAAAGATTACCAGTAGTTTTAGCTACAAGATTGGGCGGTTTCACTCGCGGTGTTTTCTTTGTTGGAGCTTACTGGGGACGCTGTCGGGGTCAGTAGAAACCCGTTCCTTGGAGATTGTTGGGTCCTTGTGTTGAGCAGACTTTCAAAATCATATAATAAAAGCAATGCGATTAAGAATCTCACAAGATTCCACTTCTTCTTCATCTCGCAGTTTGGATTATCGTTCAGTCGGTGGTGTGTTGATCCCTATTACCAAACCGCTTGAGCTCTAGAATTTCTTGCTGGTTGAAGCATGCCACTGTAACTTAGGTCAGGCTTGTAACCGATTGGGACTTAAGCCATATGTAGCATCACCAGACTGTCCCAAAACATAGCTTTCCAAATACTAGACTGATTATAGAGCTTTACCACACCACCAACCGCTTTTTTTGAGTCACCCTCCGTTCCGCACTACCGGTATAGGATCGCAGCATCTCTGAAGGAAACGCTGCATAAAATTAGCAGTACTTTTTTCCAGTTTAACCTGAGAAACAAACTCAAATAGATGCCTCTTGTCTAAGAAGACTAGAACGAGTTGCTTTTTGGTAAGCTCGCTAAAGGGTCTTGCAGTCCGGATCAACTGATTGTAATGGAACGTTTTCAATAACTTGTGTCTCTTTGATTAATTCACAATGCTGACGAGACCAAGGTTTTTTAGCTGTTTAGGTGAGCTGCCAGTTATCAATGCCTTTACCCAAGATCTCGAGCATTGATAGTGTCATTGGCTGGTTTTTCGCTGCTCTGGCAATTGTGCGGCAGTTATGGCGACTCACCTCTCGAGGCTGCCCGCTAATCTCTATGAGTTCACACAAAGGGTGTAATGGTTTTGGAACAGTTTGACCATTGGTTTTAGACATTTATCTCCACTGTTTTGTTGTTACAGTTGGGGCAGAATGAGAACTCGTTGCTAAACTCATGAAACTCATGCAGCGTACTGTGGCTGTACGTATTAGGAAGGGTAGTATATTCGACACCCTCTGGCTCTAGATCCGCCATTCTAGGTTGGTCTAGACAGGGCCACCTCTGGAAAAATGCAATTCCCCATCCAAGAGAACTTTCCGCTATTGCGAGGACACTTCAGCCCACCTCTCCTTTATTTCTTTTAAAACAACTCAAACCGTTATTGCGTTATTTGATAAACGCAAGATTAAAGAATCAATTTGATGCCAATGAGGAAAACGCTTAAAACATTAATATCAATCAATTCGCTTCAGTCAATGAAATATTAATTTCAAAACAAATTTATTGAGTGATTTTCAATTTTAGTGAAGTAAAAGAAAAACTTTTCTTCGTCCATTGTGTGCACAGAAAATGGCAAGCAATTTTTGAATTATGTACACACTTGCATTGAGTAAGAACAAGAAGAAGAATAAGAAGCAATGGCAATACATTCGATAAAGTTTACTTTCTTAAAAGGCTTGCTGCTGCTGCTGCTGCTGCTGCTGCAAATACGAGCAAACTTAAGTTATTAGTTTTGACGAGTAGACGACACTCGATGGCTTTATCCAGTTATCAAGCAGCACTGGCTGGCAGTGAAGGATAAAAAGTTATTTATCTCTCTCTCTCTCTCTCTCTCTCTCTCTCTCTCTCTCTCGCTTCTTTGTTCTCTTGGCTCATACTAAAAACAAATTCAATTGCTATTAAGATATTTAAGAGCGTGTGAGTTTGCTTAAGACTCCTTCAAATAAATATTTTTATTTTCAATAAATATTATTTGGAAAAATTATATTTTTAAGTATAATATTTATAGGGCAATTGAGAGAAGTCGCAGTGTCCTGGGCTTGAATCCTGGACAGACCAACATTCAATGACAGTTAAGAAATAGAAGCTCCCTGCTGAGAGGCGAGCGCAATTTTTCTTTTGAGGGTCCACAATTAATTCCGTCCGTTCTAAAAGGTTGGCTCCACCTGTAAGTTGTGTACGATCTCGGCAGCATCTGTTGCTGTTATTTTTGTCTCTTCGAAAAAATGTCCGGACTTGTGTTAGATAATAAGCAGTTTCGGGTAATTTTGGGTTTCTATTTAGATTGGAAGAAAAGTGTAGCTGAAGCTAATCGAATTCTTGCTGGCGTTTATGGTGAATCTGTGTCGCCTAAAAAGTCATGTCGCCGCATGGTTGGACGTTTCAAAATTGGTAGTTTTCGCAACGAAGACAAAATTTGAAGATGAGGTGAGCCAATTGATGTCAAAAAGTGTGGACTTCAACTAATATCTTTGAGCCGTGCATTGCGTGGAATGCGGCTAGATACCGCCAAACGCAAGACAAGCTGATTTTGCAATATGACTACGCTCAGCTCTATGCGGCTGTGCCGGTCAAAAAGTAGCTGGAATTGATGAATGCTGCAGACCTAGCTTCTTCCGCA